GTCAAAAGCCTCTCTTAAGGTTTAGGTGAAAGGAGAGATTTCTTTCCTTCCTTTGGGGAACTCTTGCCCCTAATTCACACCCAGTTGGGTTACTTTTCTGAAAGGTAGGAATTATATAGAGCAGAATACGCATCTTGTCACGTACAGTAGTTCTCCCTTTTCTGCAGTTTCAGTTACCTGCAGCCAGCCACTGTCTGAAAATATTAAATGGCAAGTGATCCCCTGAAATAGTGACTGCATTCACATGACTTTTATTATAGTATATTGTAATAACTGTTCATTTTAGTATTAGTTATTGTTGTTAATCTCGTACTAAACGTAATTTACAAACTTTATCATAGGCATGTATGTCTTGAGGAAAAACAGTATATATTGGGTTCAGTACTATCCGTGCTTTCAGGCATCCATTGGGGGTTTTGGAACGTATCCCCCACAGAAAAGGGAAGACTACTGTATTCTTTGGACATTTGTGTTGTTTTATCAAATTGCCTTTGCCCACTTAGCTTGTGCTATGACTTGACCAGTAAGGAATGTGGATTTTCAATACTTCTCATATGTTGGTCCTCCCTCCTGGGACGACCTGTCTTTCAGTCCTCTAAGCCTTGACTGGAGCACCATCAAGCCGTAGGAAGTTTTGTGTCAGCACTACTGATTGGGGTTAGCCACCTTCCACCCCAGAGAACTTGACCTTTCCCTTTCAAAGCATCCACAGTACTCCTGCAGCCTACGGAGAGCTATTTAAGGGCGGGAGGACGCTGCTGCATCTCCTGTGCCAAACACATGGCAGACACTCAGCAAATGTCAGTTAAATGGAGGGGAGAGAGTTTCATGGAGATCATCCCTAGACAAGAGGATGAATACGATAACACGCAATCATTCTTTTCACTCCAGGGCCTGTCTTGTCTTGCAGACTTTGTGATTTGTAATTATTGACTGATCTTATATCACGTGTGCTCAAATGTTTGTTCCTAAAGCTGGCTGTTATATATACGAATGGTTTAAGAATGTTTTTTACATTAGGAGGCCTGTGTCACAGCCAAGAGTGGCCCCAGTATTCTGCTAGCAATTCCACATGAGGATTTGGGAGACACCCACAATATCCAACTAGGAGCACTGGATTTTTGGCTGAGCAAAGCAAAAGTCAGACAATAATAGCTACAGTGTTCAATTGTTTACAGCTGAACAACTATTTCCTCTCTTCACCAAGCAAATAAGCCCAAGACAAAGAATAGACCCTTAAACAAATTTCAAATGAAAACAAATTTTAAGGTCATGATGCCCGGTTAACAGGAAATACATCACAGCATATGCAATCAACACTCACAAAGCTCAATAAGCAGTTCCTTTTCTTTACGTACTGCAAAATTTTTAAAGTAACCGAAGATGGCTCACACTGCCTCCTAAAAATAAATTAAGGAGGAACATTTATCTGCATATTAGACAAGTAACAGAGAATAAGTTTTGTAAGTATGTCTAGAAAATAACATGGAGTAAACCTTTTTCTTGAATTCTAAGGCAGACTTTATTAACTTTGATTCTCTCACAAATCACTGTTACTTCTATCCTTATATTAAGGGGAAGGGAAAAGCAAAAACTCTTAAAAAGATAAAGTATAATTCATACTTGGTCACTTCTGACTAACTCTCTTCAAGACAAATAGGCCTCAACTTCAATTTGCTTACTTTTTAATCATTATTGTTATGTAAATGTTTAAATATTCATAAAAGTAGAAATGACCAGCTCTAGGTTCCCATTACCCAGGTTCAACAATTACCAACACAGAGCTGATCATTTTCATCTACAAGCCAGAGTACTTCTCTCCCATGCCCCACCTCTGATTTTTAAAAAATTAGCTCCACTTTAGCGATGTCACTTGATCTCTCAGCATCTGCTTCTTGGTTATGCAGTTAGGAATCAGCATCCTCCCCTTTCCCAACCCCTCCTCCTTCTCTCTCCTCCTTTTTGACACCACATCCAGACAATCTGAACTCCATGAAGTATTTTACTGAGAGTGAGAACAAAAATTTACTGTTTCTGGGTTTTACAAAGATCAATTTCAAATGAGATATACAGTGTGTTTTGAAACACCCAACAAATTCTGTAGATTCTAACTTATCTATCTCTTCAATTGTGCTCCTCCTTCCAATGGCCACTGCTTTAGGTCATATTATAACTTCTCACCTGGATTTCTGGAGCCCTCTCAAATCTTCTTTCCTTGACGCTGCAAGAGACAGCATACTAAAATATCTCCTATTAATGTCATTCCCCTGCTTAAACTCCTGAATGACCGATTGCAACTTTAGAACAAAGCTCAGACACCCGAGTTTGGCTCCAGGTCTTCTCACCACCTGGTTCTTGCCTACCTCTACTGTCATCTCTCCCCAAACTCTATGCCCAACGTCTGTTCCCCTAGTCACACTGCTGAGAATCTTTTGCACACCGTTCCTCTGCTTGTCTTCATCTAATAACTCTCATATGCCTTTGTTTTCCCAGGACAAAGCACAGTGCCTGGCATAAATTAAATACACACATTCATGTGTATAAATAACCTCCAATTCTTGCCATACTCTGCTCATCAACTTTTCTTCAAGAGTAGTTTATTAATGTACTTATTAACCACTTGCTGTGAAATCTACAGCTTGTAGGAGCAGTTGACGTTTAAAACCTGATTAGAAATAGATGGTATAAATCAGATGTACGGGTCACTCCGACATCATTTCTTCTAATAACAGAATCTTGGTTTTCCTTGGGGAAATCCACTTTCAACATCCTCACTGTGATTCTGGTGAGACTGACCCCGCCTTACTCAAGCCTAGCCAACTAATCAGATTCACAGTGATTAGGTTCAGAACTTCAGCTGAAGTTACAGGGAGTAGGCACTGTTTCCCCACAAGAGTGGTAAGTGAAATGGTGGTTTTAAAATGTGTAGTCTTCCACATGCCTTCCTTTAAAGGTGAAGTCTTTTGTACTTAGTAACACAAATAAATAGAACGTGGCCAAAGTAACTGTTAGAATCCCAAAAGTAGATTGTAATAGACATTGTGGTTTCCACCTTCCCCTCCTCTGTCCACCCTATGGACAAAAAAGGGGTTCTGTAATACAACTGACAAGTCCAGTAATGGAAAGTAACCTCACGGGGTGATTTGATCATAAATTCTTAACTGGGCAGGTCTATAACTTTCAGTAAAAGATTTAAGCAAACTCTGTTCATTGTTCTTGTGCATGTAGGTTAACACACCTGTGAAATACCAGAACTCATCCTTTTTTAGACTCCTTGGAGGTTTAGTCAGTCAAGGGAGCACATATTTTTATTTCTTGCTAAATATCCTGTAATCTAATCCCCACTTTGCTTTCTCTCACCTTCATTTAATCTTTACATTCCCTCCTTCATTCCAAATGCATAAAAGAAAATGCAAACTGCCATTCTAAGAACTATTTTCTCAGTCTGTTTAGACCTTGCTTCCAGGTGTATCCTCTGGCTCAACTAATATATGCTTATAAAAATTTTGTACAGATTTGGACATACTTACGTTGACATCTCCATGATCACTGGTTCTGAGGAAAGACAACTACCATGTGGGCAAATGACTCCTATTGGAAGGCCCACCAAGAAAGGAAATAAGCACTCCTGTCAACAACCATCAAGAAACTGAGGCCTCCAGCTCAGTCATGTGAGTGAGCCAACAGCTTGGTTGCAACCTCAGGAGAGTTTCTGAACCATAATCACCTAAACAAGCCACTCCTGAATTCGTGATCTACAGAAACTATGAAATAATGTTTGAATCTGTAGACAAAAAAGGGTTGCTGTAATAAATCATAAATTCTCTATAGTTTTGGACGTTTTTATGTTGACAAAAAATTAAACTTTGGGTTGATTTGTTACACAGTAAGAGATAACGAATACAAGTAGGTAGAATGAATGCAGAAACCTGAGAAAAAAACCAACACAGATGTAAACAGGGCAAAGGCATGTGAGAGAATGGAGCCTAATAAGACCCCCCACACATGCCACATAACCAAATCTTGATGATCTCATTAAGCCCTTGGCCTCATTTATTCCTGGTCCTCCTGGACTTTCCTGTATGAAAGCCAGTGGAATCCCTCCGTAATGGATCCTTGACACTTGAAACCAAAAGTGCTCCAATCAATGCAACAAGGACCCAGAAAACTAATAAAATGTCCAAATAAATGTCCACTTGATGTTAGGGTCATTTCCTTTATATCACCCTTTCCCACTCTGTATTTTCTCTAGCATGATCCATATTTTGCTTATTTATCTTATTTGTTATCTGTATCTTCCTGTAAACTGAAGCTCCTTGAGGCCAGCACTCAGCAGGCAGTATTTGTGAAGTTAATCTAAGCTGCTATAACTGTATGCTCACTGTGAAATTGCAATGAAAGAAGTGGTACGATCTAGAGGTGGCATTAGAATGACATAAGCGGCCAGTACTTGGAGCTGGGCACAACACATAAACTCCTCAGCTGAAATCACAGAGTTTCTTAAAGAACAGCAAATAACTGCAATTGCCTACTCTGATAACTTATCAGACTGTTCAAGGGCAAACTCTCTCCTTGTCATCTCTCAGCCAATCATGGAGGAGCTGGGAACTCTTTCAGAGACGACAATGTTCTTTTTCCCTTTTAAACTCGGCGTTGCTTTTGTTCAGTAAGACAGGCTATACACAGTAATCTTCTCTACAGATGAGTAAACATCAACTGAGCTTTGGATTACTTCGCCAGTTTGCATAACCATGTCCTGACAAGGGAACGTAACTATCTGACCCTTGTGAGAGACTTCTCACGGACATTCTCTTTTAGTATTACTATATTTTTAATTACTCTCAGTCATCCCAGGCAGCACTCGCGAGCATAAATAGGCAACTATGCAGGCAACGTGGGGCAGAAAGTTTCCTAATGGGAGTTAAAGCCTGTCTTTGGGGGGAAATGGGCTCGAACTCAACGCCACTTAAGTTCAGGCTGCGGGAACCCGATCGACTCACCCGCTGGGGCTGGAAGGGCCAGCGGAGCTGCCTAGCTCCGGCTCCTGCGGCACCCTTTCCACCAAAACCGCTGCACAGACACGCACAGACTAGAATACCGATGGGAGGTGGGCGAGAGCATGGGCAGGGTCTCTAGGGGTTGGCGTCTCCCAGCGGCCGGGGTTGCCGTGGCGCAGAGACTGGGTCAGGAAGGAAGAGGTGGGACCCCGCGGCGTGCACGCGCGTGAAAGAGGACCAGGCCGCGCTCACTCACCAGCCGCCGCCCCTCTCATCCGCGCCGCCAGCGCCTCCAGTGCCTCCAACACCACCGTGTAGCTCCGCCGCACCGCCCCCAGGGTCACTTCCGGCCCACGGGGCGGGGACGGAAGCGTGCGAGAGCTGGCTCCGCCTCGCAGTCCGCCCCGGTTGCTAGGCAACGCGGATTCTGACCGCGCCCTCTGGGGGCCTGGCTCTTGGGCCATCTTTTCTTTTCCGCGGTGGGCTGGCTGACCCTGGCCCACACCTGGCGGCCTGACGGGTCTCAAGACGCGGGTGCAGCTGGCGTGCGCGTGGGGAGCCAGCGCCGCGTGAGGTTGTCGTCGCCTTTGTCAGTCCCAAGGGTTTGGAGTATGATCTGCTTGCGGCCATGTTTTCATTCCACGATTATTAACACACCTTTCCATACGTTTATTGTCTAAGACGCTTTCTCTTCTCTGGTCCACTTTTCTGTTGAATGGTGTGTCTTTTTCTTATTTCATAGCACTGTTTCGGATATTAATTTTTTTGTCAGTGATTTGTGTTAAGTATCTCAGTTTGCGTCTTGTCTTCACTTTATGGTGCCATTTGATGAACAACAGTTTTTATTTTAATGTGGAAAAGTGTATCTTTTATGGTTAGTAATTTTTGTGTTCTGTTCAAGGAATCCTGCTCTACCCCAAGTTACTCTCTCTTATTTTTTTCTAATGGTTTTAAAGTTTTAATTTTAACATTTAAGTCCTCAATTCAGTTTGGAACAGATTTAGTGTGAGGATAAGGAGATAATTTCATTTTATTTTCCATTTGGATAACCAGGAGTCCTAATGCCATTTACCGTAATTTTCTTTCAGAATGACATCCTTCATAAATTCCTTTAGTGCAGATCTCTTGATTTTGTTTTAGCTTTGGTTCCCCCCAGAAAGCAGGGCTTGAGAGAAAAGCTTATGTGCTACTTTATTAAGGGTCTTGGTCCCAGGGAATTAGGAATGGGGACAGAAGGAGTGAGGCATGGAAGGAGAGCACAAACAAGGGTGAGTTAATGAGCTCGCCACTATTTGATATCAGTTACTTTGGTTTGTTTGCTTTTATAAATTGATCTTCCGAGAGGATATGAACTACTCCTGTGTCTCAGGATAGCCAATGGGGGCTGGGAGTGTGTATGGGAAGAGACGAATTTGTCCACCAGATTACATCTCCAGTTAGTCCAAGTTTAAGTTTTGCCCCATAGAATATAACTCCTCTGTGTTTCTGTGTGTTCATGTCAGGCCTCAATGACAACCTTGCCCTGGGTGGGGCAAGGACAAATTCCACAAAGCAGTCAATGGTAGCAATGATATGTCAATACTGCTTCCCACCCTTAATTCCAAAGCCTTTATATTTTAGCTATTGGGTATTTTCCAAATATGGCTGTTGGAAATTCTTCACATATGTGTACACACAATCTGCTTCTCACATCAAAAGGTAGCGTGTTCCCCTTCCCCCATCCATGAATCTACATTGGCCTTTTGACTTGCTTTTACTGATAGATAATGGTGACTTTCTGGGGTCTGAGCCTAGTCCTTAAAAGGACTGACAGCTTCCACTCTCTCCCTACCTGGGGGCAGCCAGCTGCCATACTATAAAGCAGCTTGGACTAGACTTCTGAATGTACAGAGAGAGAGGACCACAGAGGGGCCAGCCAGGCATCATCAGGGAAGCCTTCTTGGACCTTCACTGAATTTCATATAATCAATTTTGTGAACCCAGCCACCACCACCTAGAGCAGAAGAGCCCCAGGCCCAGCTAAGCCCTGCCTAAACTCTGCAAAATCATAAGAAAGAATAAATCATTTTTGTTTCACACCACTGAGGTTTTTTTTTTTGTTTTTTTAATGCCTACCGCACCTGGTCCTCCTAGGTGGTCTCCCATCCAAGTACTAACCAGGCTTGACCCTGCTTAGCTTCTGAGATCAAACATTGGGCTTGTTCAGGGTGGCATAGCCATAGACCATGGACTATGGCTCCACTGGGGTGTGAACCCAGGACCTGCTGTGTGTAAAGCAGACGTGCTGCTACACAATGGAACCACGTCCAAATCACTGAGTTTTTAAGTGGCCTGCTACACAAAAATAATGGACTTGCTTTACCATAAAATGAATCTCTTGACATGAGGCAGTATTGTGCAGGATTCCACGTTAGTGACTCAGAATTCTGCAAGCCTTTGGATGTGTGGGCCGGTGTGGAGGTGCTGTAGTCAGGAAAAGCCAGTACACATCTGGATATGTTGGCAGTTCCAAAAGGATGAATCACTGTCCCCCTAGAGTTGAAAGAACCCAATGTAATCAATCTATATTCAAATGGCTGGCTCTCTACCCAAGGGAGAGTACCATATCGAGGATTCATTGTGAGTCTCTTGGTGTGGCTAAGGCTAGAATAGCTTTGGTGGATGGCAGACTGTGAGCTCACAGAGGGACAAGCATGAAGCAGTACTCACAGAACCTAACATTAATTCCATGCTTCCACAAGTCATATGACAGGTACCATTTAAATCTCCATTTCACAGATGTAAAATAACTGAGTCTGAGAGTAGCTAAATATGTTAACAGTTTCGTGGTGTTGACCACAAACAAAAAGTCAGCCAGGTATTCCTTTAGCAAAAAGGATTTATTCGGGAAGAAGGATTGCAATTCCATATGTGCAGCCATAGCAAGCTGGGTAAACATAGGAAATTCTTCTCTAGAGGGGAAGAGAAAGTTGGAGGATGGGGGGAATAAAACCAAAGATCTCTTCCTATAGAGCTGTAACAACCAACTCAGAGCATGAGAACTCCTCTCTCCTACAGGCCCCCCTGATTCCTATCTTAGTTAAAGTCTGTCATTAACTTTGACATTCCTCCCTTTTGCGGGGGAAGATCTTTGAAAACATCCCTGATCAACAGGTTTTCTGATTTCAGAGGCTTTCTGTCCCAATGCCAGGAAAGAGTTCTTGAAGGTGGTGGTCCCATGCTAGAAGGAAAATGCATGGTCCAAACTGCTTGTGTCCAGGTTTGACAAGCAACGGGTACAGCTTAACAGGAAAAAAAAAAAAAAAAATCAAAATTAAAAAGATAAAAACAATGTATATGATGATTCTAAAACAGGAGCTCTGATGGGAAAGCAGTGAACTAAGGGGTCATTACAAAGGAGTTGAGGGAGTAGTTCCCCATAATGGCCACTGATGTTCTAAATTACTTTTGGTCATAGTCCATTTACTTAAATATGTGTATGAAGGGGGACCATGGTTTTTAAACACAAATTTGGCTGGGGACCCTGCAGGAGGGAAATAGGTAACTGAGATCCTATTTTTTGGACACTTTGCTTTAGAGCCTAGGCCCAAACTGGCTAAACAGCTCCCACAGCTTAAATAGCTTAGGCGGCTTGCAGGCTTAATACCAGCCAGTTCCACTAAGAAGAGTCCAGTCCCAAAGGGGTCAGGGGCAATGGCTGTGGCAGCATAATTCTAGTAGAACAGCCTACTCTGGAAAGATCTGGGCCAAAGGCTGCATGATAGGACAGTTTGGTTCCAAACAGCCAACACAAACGACCAATTCCAAAAGAACCAAGTTGATAGCTAATATAGTACCAAGAAATAACCTGATCCTCTAGGGCAGTGGCCCCTAACCTTTTGGCACCAGGGACCGGTTTCGTGGAAGACAATTTTTCCATGCATTGGGGATGGGGGGGTGGGGGGGGGATGGTCTCGTGATGATTTAAGCACATTAATTACATTTACTGTGCATTTTATTTCTATTATTATTATATTGTAATATATAACTGTACAACTCACCATAATGCAGAATCAGATGCCACCAGATGCAGTTTAATGTACAACTGAAGTACATCAACTCACTTGCCACTATCAAGTCCACCACCAGATGTAGCTTAATGTCTTTTGCCAGTCACTGACAGGGTTTTGATATGAGTCTGCGAGGAATTGTTTTGTTGTCTCTGTGCAGTCAAACCTCCCCAGAACTAGCATCACCGCCTCAGCTCCACCTCGGATCATCAGACATTAGATTCTCCTAAGGAGCGCTGAACCTAGATTCCTTGCACGTGCAGTTCACAACAGGGGTCCCGCTCTGAGCAGTGCTGGGGAGCGGCTGCAAATACAAACGAAGCTTCCCTCATTTGCCTGCCGCTCACCTCTTGCTGTGCAGCCCAATTACTAACAGGCCACTGACCGATTCCAGTCCCATGCCCTGGGAAATCAGGCCAAAAGAGCTCGTAGCCAGACAAGGCATTTTAACAGAAAAAGAAAATCCTCTAAACAGGTCCCAAATAAAGTCCGGAGAGTAGAAGCTTGGACTTAGGAGAAAATGTACCCTCAAACTCCTGATTTGGGAATTAAAACAGCAAATTCAAATGGCTGGCTCTGGGCGCCATACCTGTTTGCTCACCAGCCCAGAGGTCTCTCTGGAGCCCTCAAATGTGTTGACCACAAACAAAAAGTCAGCCAGGTATTCCTTCAGCAATAGAGATTTGTTCGGGAATAAAGAGAATATTGCAATTCCACACTTGCCACCTTAGAAAGCAGGTACAAGTTTGGGGTACAGAATGGAGAGCAAGCCTTTTAAAGAGGGGTAAAAGGAAGTTGAGGGTGTTATGTGCACCCGGAGGAGAGGCTCTTCTAACCATAGAGTTTTTACAGGGCTTTCCGCTACTGGCACAGGTCGGTGAGAGCTCCTCCTACAGACTCTCCAGATTCCTGTCCAGGTTTAAGGCACTTTAATTTTGAAATTGGCAACCAAGAAAATACGGGATTTTTCTTGTTTTGGATTGTCTCTATTTATTTTAAAGGTTAGCCTCAGTATTGCGTATAGGTCTTGGGCTCTAGAGTAAAATCAGAGTAGAGACTGGCTTCGCCCCTTCTACAACTGGAGCCTCAGCCTTCTCCAGCTCCCTCCAGAGCGGAGTGCCACATCCCCCCACCCCCTCCCCCGCCCGCTGCAGAAACTGCATTTCCCAGCAGGTCAAGCGCGGCGCCGACGCACTTCCTCCCGGCGTTCCCCGCGACGGGAAGGATCCGAGAGGGCTCGAGGTCGACGCTACCAGGTTTCGTCGTCGCCGCCGTCGCTGCCGCTGTCGCCGTCGCTGCCGTGTTGAGAGCACCCGTCGCGGCCGTCCCAGCCGCCTTCGCCGGCCACCATGTCCGCCCAGGCACAGATGCGGGCCTTGCTGGATCAGCTAATGGGCACGGCCCGGGACGGTGAGTCGGGGCGGCCGGCCAAGCGAGGGGCTAGGGCGGGAGTGAGACGAGGCCGCCGGGCGGCCTGAGGCGGGGGCCGCCACCATCTGCGCCTGCGCCCTCCCCTCCCCCACGCGCCGACCGCAGGCGCCGGGCCTTTGTCTGAGCGGGTTCGCCTGGCCGGCGACCGCGGCCGGCTTTTCTCCCACCGGCGGCGTGTCCTCACTGGGCTCCTCCCTCGGAGCCCACTCCGTCGGTGGCGCTCCAGCCCCTTCCCCTTGTATCGTCCTGCTATTTCCTCCCGGGCCAGCGCAGCAGCTCCTCCAATCGAGGAGTCGGCGAAGGGCTGGAGCCAGCAGGGGCTCCAGGTCGCTGGCAGCCCGGTGGCGGAGCTCATCCGAGGCTCCTCGGGGAAGAAGCTACACCCGAGGGAGCCGGATGGACCTCGAAACCCTGGCTGTTCTTGTTCTGTACCGTTGCAAGGGGAGCCATAAATTGAGCTTTTCTAACATGGGTTCCTGCCGAGTACTTTTCCAGCCCCTTTCCCCCCAACCACACAGAGAGCCTCTGTCTAGCCAGCGCTTGTTAGTCGTTAGGTAGGTCGTATTGTAGGGAGGAGTGCAAGATCATGATGGTTGTCTCAGGAGAAAGCGGTTGCATCTTTGCAAAACTATATACCTGCTGTGGTTTGTGTTTTCTTTTCTACTGAGGTAATGAAGTTGTAAGTTCACACTGGCACATTCGCAGGGCTGTGCAGATTCTTTGCACTTTATTTCATAGGTGAATAAGTGCTTTTTAGCTTTCTTTGTATATTGAGTTGCTTTTGAATTGCTTCCCATATTTTTATTTCATACAAACTGAACAATTGTGGCCCCTCTATTTTATTTATAAAGGTTCAGTGTATCTTTGCCTGCCTACATCAATCTGCAAGGGAGTTGCAGAAAAGCCTCATGTTCATCGAGCCGTGAGTCACAACCAATTTCTAAGCTGTTATAACAAAAAAGTGTTTGCTTTTTTTCACAAGTAACTTTAAAAGTGTAGTTTAGAAAGAAAACATTTTCAATAAAAAGACACTACATTTATCCTGGATGCTTGCAAATCCTGAAATATATTCCTCCTTTACTATTTACACAGCTCTGTGTCATATACACAGATTAGCTTTAAAATTTGTCACATTCCACTTTGCCTTTACTTTTATGTATCATTCCCCTGACTTCCTTACTGCAGGTTGGGCAAGAAAACTTTTCCTTTAAAACTTTTCAACAGCGGGCATAAAATTCTGCAGCTGAGGTCTTGAAGAATGCAGATGGGTACAGTATGTGTTGGAACTCACAGTGTGTATTGACTAACCTGGTTCCTTTTTGCCTTTTTTTTTTTTTTTTTTTTGGTATTGTTGTGTTAAAAGTGACTCCCAGGTGCCAACTCTCTTTTTTAAGGGTGGGGGTGAAAGGGGAATAGGAGGACTAGGTCTAGATTATTTATCAGTCAGCAGTAGAGTTTGAAAGCTTTTTTCATGTAATTTTGGTCAAAATACTGCCTACACATTTGTCCACAGCAAAATAAGATTAATAAGTAGCTTTTGTTGGTGGAAACTACCAGCTATAGGTCATACATGGTGATTCATGGCCCTCTGATTAGCATGGGTTTTGGTATCTCATTGCCCACATGTATGTGTGGGGCTAATGTCCTTTTGGTGCTCAGCCTTTTACTTCTGACTCCTTGACTTCTTTGGCACAACGATGGAGTCATAGCTCATTAGTGTGATTCTTCATGATATATTTAGCATCAAAAACATCTGTCTGGATTCTGCTCCAGTTGTAATTATCTCTAGATCAGCTTTTCAGTGTATTTGGTAGTCTGCAGATCATCCAGGTGAATTGTTTTACCAGATATGCTTCTGTGTTTAACGTGATAATATTGTCTTATTTAAAACCGCAAATGAATTTCAGGAGATGAAACCAGACAGAGGGTGAAGTTTACAGATGACCGTGTCTGCAAGAGTCACCTTCTAGACTGCTGCCCCCATGACATCCTGGCTGGGACGGTAGGTGCCTTGGGAGTGGGGGGAGTAGCACAAAATACTCGGGGGTGCTGTGTAGACATTGTAGGTTTTCTAGATTTTAATTGTTTTATCTGGCAGAAATGACCAATATTGCCCTTTAAATTATAGATTCTTAGTGGAATTTTATATTGTGGAACATACTTTACTGTTATAAAAATCTCTCTCAAGTTACCACGGTTTTATAGAGCCTTTTATACTGTGATATTCACACCTAAGTAGTGCACATAATCTCATTCGGCTATAGCGAAAAGTGTGCTTCATCAGGTCAGCCTATAGTTCTTTAAAGACCCTGGGTTGGTTGCTTGGTTGGTTTTCAAATTAAACATGGTGCTAGACTTTTTATCTAACAAAGTACATTTCTTCCCAAATTTTTAGTTTTTTTTCTTTCTCCCAGATCTGTTGGGAATAATGTTGATTTTCTAGTTTTGTGTTACGCCATCCTTTCAAGAAATCAACACATGATGCTATGAATATAGACCCCTAAAATTTTAAGTTTACTTCACATTAACCAGATACATGCTGGTTTTGCAGAATGTATTTATTTCAGATTAGGATTTAAGAAGACTGAAGTGTGGAGGATTATCTATGATGATTTAGCCACTTAGAGAAAAGGAATCTTACAAAGACCACCATTTTAAGATTTCACAGCTACCTCGAGGATATGAAAACTATCTTTTCATTTTAAGGGTCATATGTGCGAGTACTAATAAACGTTTTTTTCGTGATTATTGTTCTGTTAGTACCGTTGTGATGGGAGCAGCCTCTGGAAAACTGCTCAGGTGTATTACATTTTCTCAAGCTGGCTCTTCTGGCAGCAGATAGAAAGTGAATGCCAAACCTTGTGCCAAATATAAGGTTTGCCTGCACTTTGACCAGGTGTAGGAAAACATTATAACTAGTGTTTGCTGCAAATTGTTGTTTATGTTGCTCTTAGTATACCAGAGGGAATCAAGCAGAAAAGGCTGAGTCAGCCAGACGGATCCATCTAGTGGAAGAAGTCAAAAGGAGCAGAGGGACGTGCACCAGAATGAAACATTTCAACCATGTTTTTATTGGTCAGATCCCTGTGTAACATTGTTTCAGAATACTGGTGAGAAAAATAACCAGAATGAGGTCTTTTCCTACAAATGTTTATTGTGTTAAGTGTAGGTTAATTTACCAAATATTTACTGGACACCTACTGTGTGCCTGGCACTGGGGATATAGTGCCAATAAGACAAAGTTTTTATTCTCTTCTGATGGTGGAAAAGGACAGACACTAATTAATAAATAATGGATTGTTTTAGGTAGGGTGATAAGGTAAGGCCTCTCAGGGACATTGGAGCAGACATTTGAAAGGTGAGAACATATGTTCGTGGTTTGGGAATATAATTCTCTGGGTAGCGGATGGTGCTGAAGGACAGTAAGAATGTCACTGGTATGTCTAGACTTGTGTGAGTGAAGGTGAGAGGTAGGCAAAGGCTGTGGAATCAAATTAGTAATGAGAAGCTACGGACTGATCAGAGTTACTCTCCTGTGGGTTGGGGCAGGAGCAGGTCAGCAAAGGGAGTCTGAAAAGAAGACTAAAGAGTAGGAGAAAACTGAGGAGTTCATGTAGAGGTGCAAATAAGCAAATGTCAGAGGCTGCTAAGGGTCGATAAGGATGAGATTTGGGAATTCAAATAAAGGTTGTTGTAAAGGTTGAGCCTCACTAGGTGTGGGCTACATGGAAGTGAGAGGTAAGGGGTAGAGATGACGATGGGTTTTCTGAGGAGTTTGTGTTTTGAGTTGAATTGGAATGAATATAATTCTTTAGAGCGGCAAGATGAAAGTGGTTATAACCTCAGCCTGCTAAGGGTTCTCTAGGCCCAAGTTTTTGCTCAAAACTATCTCCCGTCATTAGGGTGAGGCAAGGAGGATTGGAAGTAATCATTTTATTGGGGCTTAATGGGAAAATATAGTATTGATTAGTAAGTTTGGAATAGTAAAATAGCTGGAAGAAAAGTGGTATAACTTGTCTCAGTGTAAGAACTTTTCAGAGCTTCTGGAAGGAGCCTTTAGTGACCTTGCCTGTCAACAGTGTGAAATTACTAGAGAGTGAAGTACACAGTTGTCAGGTGTTTGCTCAGTGAAAAAGGTCTGGCGTGCTGGATTTAGAAGCCACTTGGAATATTTTAGAAAGATCTAAAGAGTGTGGTATTTCAGCTCTGCTTGGTGTTTAGTTGCTGGGGGAATTGACCAGTACTTCCTTGCCTCTTTGGCAAGCTAAAAAAACACGTCAGGAGAGTAACCATGGAACCCAGGCCTATCCTCAGCTTACTTTAGCAGTGTCTGCTTGAGAGCTCCCACCTAAAGGAAGACGGTGGTGAATTTTGCTCCATTCGTGGTTCCCTAATGTGAAAACTTTCTTGGCATTTTGGAAGTTTTTAAAGTGGGAATTGATTAGATTTTTAGTGCTCAGGGTTTTAGTGCTTATTTTATCTGGTAGTTTTCCTCTGAGCAGCTGAGCTTTTATTAGCCTTTAAGCATTTCTGAGAGCTTCCACTCATTTTTCAGCTATAGCACTTAGTTTAATTTGTGGAAACTATATTTTAAGGAATCATATTGGGTACTTAATAGAGTGAATGAAGGAAAAGTCATTTTTACAAGGACAATGATTCTAGTTCCAACTTTGGCTTCTAAAACCACTATTGCCCTACTTCTAAGATCCCTTATGTAACCAACATACATGAGCTACATATGACTTTAGAGTAAGAATAGTGAAGGAGAAAAGAGGTTTTAACATTTAAATGCAGAAGTTGCTGTTTGGTAAAAATGAAGATAAACTCCACATTTGGCAGCCTACTGTCAGTATCACTGTCATTGGTGATACTGAAGGATATTTTGTTAGCATGGCTCACACCTTCTGTGAGATAGGGCTTAAGAGCTAGGCACTGTGAGCCTCTCTAATTTGCCCAAAATGTTAAAGTTTTATAACCCATAAAGTTTCTTTTTATCTCATTTTGAGCAGTTTGAGTTTAAAGGACTCCATATTTTTGTTTACTGGTTATGTAGATGTGGTTTTGTCCAATAGCTTTAACTTCAGCGATGATTCATTGGGATGTTGGGTTTTGCTAACTTGCACTCTTATGGCTTGATAGCATGTTCCTCAATGTACAGACTTCCTGTTGCTGTTTAGATGGCCAGAGGTAGGTGAGAGAGAGAGAGAGAGAGAATGTGTGTGTGTATGTATACAGAATCCTGTACTCGGAATTTAGGTAAGAACTGCACAGTGTCGTTTAATTGTTCTACATGCACTTAAAACACATTAGCACATCTGGCTAACTTTACTCTATCACACATCATTTGTTTTAGTAAAAGAGCCTTTTGTTTCTCAAGTGTGGCAACTGAGTAGACTAATTTTGTGTCCCCAATTATATTTACCAGGTTAGGAGAATGTTTGGAGGATTCATTTGGCTCTGAATCAAACCTATTCTGCTTAATCCCTTTGGTATACAAAGAGCTACACAAAGCCAAGTCAGGTTGTGCTGTAGTTGCCAAAACCAGATTTCTATCTGTTCTTTTCTTTTCTCTCAGCTTTACTACTGAGAATCTTGCGTAGTCAAGATGCAAGAAGGAAGGAATGCCTAAAAGCTTGTTGCTATCAATGACGTTCTTGTTTTCTGGCTTTTCCCTTGCCACCCTCCACCATACCCCCCACCCCCACCTTACTGCCTCCAATGTTGCTATTCACTGAATAGATAGTTCTTATGTGTCTGATAGCAAAACTAAATTTGGCAAAGCTAATTAATACGGTTTTCATTATTAGTCCAGTTATCTCTGGGTCTAAAAGAGATGTAAACCTTGCCACTGTTAAATGCACTAGTTCTGGGTATCATATCATTGTGGTAAAAAATAAATAAGGCTTCTCAGCCATGTTTTTTTTTAATTTTCTTGTAGTTTAGTATTAAAAAAGTATTGTTTATGTTGATGACAGTTGAAACACCAGGTCATTTATTTCTGATGATTAGATGTTCATATGTAAACTTGTTTCTTTCTCACAGCGCATGGATTTAGGAGAATGTACCAAAATCCACGACTTGGCCCTCCGAGCAGATTATGAGATTGCAAGTAAAGAAAGGGACCTGTTTTTTGAATTGGATGTAAGTTTTATTTGGTGTTAATTAGTCCCTACTGTGAAGAGCCAAATACTGAACTAACGAGAATAATGCAACATATGTAAGTTATGAAGCAAACAAAATAGATACATATTATTCCATCACTAGACCGTGGCCAATACCATTTTGTGTCTACCACTCCAACACTGTTCAGCATTTTGTATGTATCATTTCGTTTCTAAAATATATTTTATTACGTTTTTGTGATTCCTTGAATGTTATATTTATTCTTGCTTGTTTTTGAGCCTTATAATAAAAATGGTTTCATAGTGTAGACAGCTGTCAATACTTTAGTTTTTTTGTTCAATATTATGTTTCTACTTACCCATTTTGTTGGGTGTGTTTTGTTTTCATTGCTGCTTGAGTATGTCTCAAACTATCCATTCTTTAGTCATAGATAGTTGAGTTGATTCTAGTTTTTTTTTCCCTATTACCAACAGTATTATGAATATTATTGAGTATCTTTTTGGTGCACATGTAGAAGCGTTTATCTGGGATATATTCCTGGGAGAGGAATTGATAGCTTATTCATCCTTTTAAGATGGTTCTGTAGTGTCTTTTTCTTTTCTCTCTATTGTTTAATAAAGCAACGATAGCAATTTACACCCCCAATAGCAGTGTATGTATCCTCACCAACACTTGGTATTATTGGACTATTAAACTTTTGCAGTTAAGTGGTTAGTTATAAAATGGTATTTCACAGCTTTGCTTTTCTTTTTTTTCATTATTGCCTCCCAAAGGATCCTTTTTAAAATCTTTTTTTCCTAATTTATCCTCCTCTCCGTGATACCCTGGATATCATGATATCCATGATACCAAAGATACTCTGCATATCAGTTTATGTACTGTGATCCCTTCCAGGCCACAAACCACTGTCATATCTAAGATCTTTTTTCATCTTTTAAGGCCGGTTTTCACCCCTCCCCCATTGAGAATGCATGATTTAAAGTCACTCCATTTTGATTTTTTCTCTTCTCTAATCATCACTAGTCTGACTGGAGATCAGTGGAGGAGTTTGATGCCATTCAGGTTCCTGAGTTGAAGATTGAGAAGGGACTTACCTTGTTGTAAGGAAGCCAAAGAAAAAGAAAACCCAAAGAAAGGCATTCCACCACCCCCCCCCCACACACACACAAGTCTTTTTAGAGGCTATGTTGTTGCTGGAGTAAATTCTGTTTAATCCAGTAGTCTTAAAAAGTGGTAAAATTAAGAATTTCAAATACATTCTTTAACAACAGTGTGCTCTCAGTGTTGAATCTTTGAATTAACTAAAAATGTCTGTAGCAACAGCTCAACTAACATTGGGCTTGGAAATGGAAATCTATATTATGAATTTTAATTCTTCAGTAAACTGAAAATGCTTATGTAAAGAGACCATTACCTTGGTGTATCAGGTTTCAGAAACACAGGTTTCAGATATTTAGGTTGAAATCTCGGTTTTAGTAATGTAGTTTTTTTGGATCACAAATCTTAGCATTTCTGTTAAATCAGAAAGATCAGTGCACTTTTTAAATGGCCTGATTAATGCTAGAGAATAGATCAATAGAAGAAATTGAGACTATGGAGAGAGACTGAAATATATATAGTAATTTAGTTTATAACGAAGGGTGTGTGTTCAGCCAGAGTGGAGATGATGGGTTTTTAAGCCGGTTGGAAAAATAACAAGTTGGATCCCAAAAAAGTGAATTTTGGTTTGTCATCTTGAGATGTTACAAAGCCTAGAAGCTGTAAGAGAAGGATGGATGCATTTTTCTACATAAAAACTTAAGATAATAGCATATAGGAAATTCCCATACATAAAATAAGGAAACCGGGACAAAATATTTGTAGTATATATGATGATGGGCTTAGTTTTTTTAATACAGTAAGCCCTCAACTTCAACTTCGTTGGTGGGTTCTGCAACTTTAAGCAAAACAATGTATAAAGAAACCAATTTTACCATAGGCTGATAGTTATAAACCAGTAAAGCTCCTATAGCATTTCATTGACTTTGAAAAAAACAACGTTATTCAAGGATGTGCTGTATATAAAATTCATCATGACTGACAAGAACAGTATCGATAGCTCAATAGAAAATGGGCATAAGACAGATAAGGACATTTCCTAGCAGGCGTCTTATCCTGTGACAGATGCTCACCTTACTCAATTAAAGAGATGGAGAGTTAACTAATCCTGATACATCTGGATAATTGAGCATCTCAAGATGTGAAAACATATCCCAACACTACCAGTTGTGAGAGCACATCCAACTGATAACTTGCATAAGTCCAAAGATAAATTTGCTGTAGAATATTTCTGCAGCATTATTACTGCAAAAATGAGGAACTAAATAACTTCCCTTTGTAAAGGGATGGTTAGATCACAGCTCTTTATCATGGAATGATGTATACTGTGAAAAGAGAATTGCTGTAGTTTATGTTGATGTGAAATTACCTCTAAGATGGATTAGGTGAAAAAGCAAAGTGTGGTATGATGCTTCCATAGTGGTTTTTGTTTATTTGTTTGTTTTTAAAGGGAGGATGTTTTACGCTTGTTGATGTGCTTAGATGTGAAGGGCATAGTTTTATAGGAACTCAGGAGGTTTGAGCACTCTTGTAGGTCAAAAGGTTTTCTGGTGCTGTGTGAAAATTCACCATAGATCCCTCCCTCCAGCTCCTTAAAAGTAATACTGACCTACAGAAAACTCATGTTAGAATGTTTGATAACCAGTGCTGAGAACAAGTGGAAGAGGTCCTCTTGCTCTAAAGAATGAAGGGTAACCTGGAGCAGCTGTGTTTGTGGGAGGGCAGTCTGTCAGGGACTGTCAGCATATCCAGGTACTTGTACACTTGTCCCAGAACTCCACAGGTGGGAACGTATCTTAGGAATGTATGCAAGCGAGTACATAGAAAAGATGCTTGTTGCAACTTTTTTCAGTGTCAATAAAAGAAGCCGTAATGAAACTATTAATGTGGGACTGATTACATGAACTGTGGTCCTATTACACTAATGCTTCATGAACCTCTAGGCTGGGTGTTAGGGAAATTTTACCATAAAAAGCTTTTTACAATAATGGCTTTAAGATATTCACACGCCATAGAATTTACACAACTTGTAAAATTTTTAACATATGTATTAGTAGTGTTTTGATGTTCATGGATTGCTTATAATAACTAAGTAAAAGTGACCTGACTTGAAAATACCATGCTAAAATAACTTATTTCCGTAATTATGCAGGATTAACTTGGAAAAATAAAATCTCAAAATGTAGGTTTGTTAAATTAATTTGATAAAAGACTTAAAAAATATTTTTGGTGGGTAATGTACGCTCACTCTTAACAGATTCCAGAGCTCTGAAAGGCTGTCTGGTGAAAACTCCCCTTTCCATGTGACCAGCCATCCACTACCTGTCTATGAAGGTCACTTGTATCTTTCAAAGAAAGTTTATTCAGAATGAACAAGTACATTTATCAGAAAGGGTAGTTGTGATTTTTCTTGTTACGATTTTGATAAGCAGAACACATCAGAAGATTTTTGGTGAGATGTGGTCAGCGGGCCGGGCCTACTTTTGTTATTGCTGATGTGTTGCTGCCTCTTGATAACCTGCTATTGGCACTCAGCTCCCAGCCTGCCATGTAGCCCATGGATTGTCCAGGTCTCAGGCTTGGGACCAGTAGCTTGCCCATGTCCATATTGAGATTGGTTTCTGGAAGGGCTACAGTGTGATCATCACTATTGGGTATGGACACAGGTTTCATTTTTACAGGTTGAGAACCATTACTAATCCAAGATTTGTTCTGGTTTTTCTTAGTAATATATTTATTTGTGTAGTTCACCAGTTGTTTTGGTAGAATCTCTTCATTGTTGACCACTGTGAGGTGGGTCAAACATTTATCTCTGAAGTCTCTGAAAGTGCTATAAGATTGATGTTCTTTTCCAGAATTAATGGAAGCAGCATTGTATGATGATGCTGAGAGAGGAATCAAATTCTCTTCACTGAAGCAACCAGGAATATTTAGGAGCTCTTTTTATCCAGGTTATATTACAGAGAGAGCTGTCCAAAAAGCATTACGTTTATTTTGTTTTAATATTGAAAAAATTTTAATCAAATATCTTAAATATAGCAGGCATTTGGATTATATTTTAAACCATTTTTGTTATACAAGTGATGCTTTTTTAGAACAGATTATTAAAGTCAGATCAACATGAGAGCTTTGCATACTAGATGATGCTTAAGACATCCATGCCTTTTGTTTATTTTAGAAAAGAAAAACTTTTCTAAAACTCAAGTTTTTAGTTGATTTATTAATTCATGATGCATTAGTTTAAAAGAATTGTTTTTACAGAAGGTGGCATTACTATTAAAATCTATATTATTTCTTAACTAGTTATTGAACTCATAGCTTAAGTGACATTTGATTTTCAGTAGATCTTTATAAGAATTTATCAGCCCTTTTTACAAATTTAAAATATTTGTAGACTTCGAGTCACCTCTCAGCAGTTTGTAAGAAATTGTTCTAGAATATTCGCCTATGTATGAGAAGACAGATGTTTATTGTATTATTTTGAATTGTGAAAAAGGAAAAACATATGTATGTATTAGGTTAATTTTTTTTTTTTTTAGGCGAGGCTACCCTTGGTTGACCTCACAGATTGCAAGGACCTTGTCAGCTTACAATCCCTTATTTTTTTTATTTTTTACGCCTGCAGCACCTGGTCTTCCTAGGTGGTCTCCCATCCAAGTACTAAGCAGGCCCGACCCTGCTTAGCTTCCGAGATCAGACGGAATTGGGCTTGTTCAGGGTAGCATGACTAAACAGAGATTAAAGTAGTTGTGTTAAAATGCAATGAATACTGCACAGCTGTAGATCCTAGAAGATATGTACATGGATGTGAAAAAAGGAAAAAGGAAACTTGCAAAACTATCTTGTTTGGTTGGAATAAATATTGTATGCTTGTATGTGTATTTTAATATAATTTTAAAAACTATGTACCAAACTCTTAAGTACTTGCTTCTTGAGGTGGAGAGAAGAAAGAGTTATATTGTGTATGTTATATAAAGTTGTTAGGTCCAGTCAGATTGCTGATATAGTAGGCAGCAATGAAAATTTTAAAAAGTATTTATACCTTGTGACTTACTTCTACAACGCTATTCTAAGGAAATAATTGGAAATATAGGCAAACACTGGTACACCAAGATGTTTGTGCTAAGATTGTTTACAGGATTGAGAAATTGGACATAACAGTGCTCAAGAAGAGGGAAATGAATTGGCATTCATAGACTGCCCTTGAAATGAATGTTCATGAAACCCATTGAAATGACTTAATCCAAGATAAAGATACAAAATTGGCATTCATAGACTGCCCTTGAAACTAATGTTCATGAAACCCATTTAATGACTTAATCCAAGACAAAGATACAAAATTGTATATACTGGAGATTTCAGCTCTGCACTTTCATTTGTGTGCTCTCATCAAATGTGTGCAATCAGAATTTATAGACCTGAATTCAAAGCCCTTCTCACTTGTGCCCTTCTTGTTCCTTGGAGGCAGCCCCTTACGTATTGTTGTAAAATAAAAGGAAGCAAACACTTAAAAGTAGTAGCTTGCTTCTTAAATGCCACAGCATTTGGTTGGTCAGCTTTTTAACAGACTATTTCAGAGCAGTTGCTGAAAGCCGGTGTCACTGCCAGTCAAGGATTGCCTCTAGGTCAGAATTCTGAGGCTCTGCTGGTAAAAAGGAGGTAGGGAGTCATGCTTATAGAACTTTGAACACTTTAAAGCTATGGTTAAGTAAAATGTTATTCTGTTAAAAAAATGACAAAAATTGATTTACCGGGGGCGGGGGAGGAGTTTCTTCACTTTATTATGGAGAATCTCAAATATCAAAAGTAGATGTAACAACAGTATAATGAATATCCATGTACTCATCACTCAGCGTCAGGAATGATCACCTCATGGTCAGCTGCGTTTCATCTTTGTGTCCCCACTTTTCTCACATATCTCAAAACAAACCTCACATCCTATTATTTCATTTGTAAATATTTCAGCATTGTCATTGGCTTTCGAAGTTCTATTTGCCATGCATACAAACATCTAGTGTTATACTTGATTATGACAGAATCTACTTAGCATGCTTTAAAAAAATGTGTTAAGGAAAATTTTAAACATACAAGTGAACAGAATAATACAATGAAATCTCCCAGTTTTCAGTGATTATTGACATGAAGACTCTTGTTTTGTCTTTATCATGTTTTTTCCCCACTGGATTATTTTACCATGGCTCCTACATGGATGATTTCATCTGTAAATGCTACAAAAAGTATATCTTGAAGATAAGAATTTTATTAAAAGTAATCATAATTTTAAAATAATTCCTTAACATCATTTCATAGTGTTCAAATATCCCAGATTTACTCAAAAAGGATTTTTTTTTACAGTTGTTTGACGCTATCCAAAATAAGGGCCACACATTAGAATGTTTTGTCTTTTTAGATGTATTTGTTTGAAGAAATTAATTTTTAAGACACATCCAGGATTTTGCTGATCATCTCATGCTGTGTTTTTAACATGTTTTCCTTTATCTTTGAAATTCCCTGTAACTTAAGAGTTAGATTTAGAAGCTTGATCGCCAGATTTAAGGTTTTTTTTTGACCAGGATATTTCAGAGGCAGAGCTGTGCATTCATTTCCTGTTAGATCACTTTGGGTGGTACAATGATCATTGTTAGGCCTGGGAGTTGCAGGCATCTTAACCTGATTGTAAAGGCCTCCATCAACTTTTGGCCTAAAACTTTAAGCGGCAGTTGGGGATTATTGACTAGATCAGTTATTTCACTAGGGTTCAGCATCTCATTAATTTCGAAGCATGTAGGACATTCACACATTTCAAAATTTAAAAGATACAGAAGATATATTGTGAAACTTCTTTCCTGTCTGTTCTTTAGTTACTTAATTGCCCCCAGAAGTAATCTGTTGTGAAAATATAGTTAACCATTTCCTTAAATTGTCTTGCTCTGTGATGTTTTGACAGGTTTCTAGAGCAACATACCATATAACTAATTTCAGACTTTTTAATATACTGAGACCAGTTTTGATTATACTTTGTATTTCTGTCTTACAGATATAGTGTAATAGGCATTTTATAAGTCTGATATCCTGGATTAGAAATCCCTGTGTGATTTTGGGCAAGTTATTTTACCCTTTCCTAAAAACTAAGCTGATGATAAATGCCTCAGAGTTGTCAGGATTAAGTGTAGGAGCTTTGGAGCCAAACAACAGGGGTCCTTACATCCTGCCATCACTTAGTTTGGAAACTATACCTAAGTCTTTTCATGTGGGAATTGGAGGCCTGAAGAGTCCCTGCACAGCTGTCTTGAGGCATGTGTGGAGAAAGCAGCACAGCCCTGGGCCATATATTTGCTGTGACTCTTCTGATAGCATGGGCTTTTCTCAGGCTCACTGCTGGCTGGTGTCATTGCTGCTGGGCAGATGCATAAACAGTCCTGTGTGTGAAGGGACAGTCTCCTTCAGCAAAATGAAACCTGTGTGCCTACCGTGTGCCAGTGCTTTACTCAAGTGCCCTTAGTAAGTAGCTCATGTTTTCATCTCATCACCCTTGAATTAGAGAAGTTGGATGACTTCTTAGTAAGTTGTAGGTTGTGATAGGAACTTAATTTTTAGGCTCAAGTATCTTTTTAAAAATAAATAAATAAATAAATCTCTTTGAGGAGCCATTCTGAAATTGAGAAGCACAGTGAAGAGAGGGAGGGGCAGTAGAACAGCCATCTTTTAAAGAATGTGGCAATTAAAAGACTTCTCTGTGGTCTGTCTGTTCTGTGTTTTGAAGTTTACTATTTAGTTTATAGCTTAGATGTTTGATTCAGTAGTCAGATTCTGCTTAAGATGCAAGTGAATGCTTTGATTGGTAAAGGCATTGGCAGGGTCATTAGATGTCTGTTCCCCATTTGGCCTGTGATGGGTGGTTCTCTGGGTCTCTCAGGTGTGAGCTCATGCTTTTTGAGTAGACAGTAGAGGGACTCTACACTAAAGTCTCCATGCCTGTATGTGGATGAACCTGGGGCATCTCAGGCTGTTCTGTTATCTGTTGTTCCAGGTTAGTACAGGTGGTGCATGACCCTTATCAACTCACTGGCACATGATCCTTTTGAGTCCCATCTTGTCAGAGCTGTTTACATTTTTTAAAAGCACAGTGCATACAGGCAAACAAATGCCAATCATTTGCTTTCCTGATTGTTTGATTTGAACATAGTGAAATGTTTATCAGAGAATATTTAGATGACCAACAGGAAAGAGGTCCTGAATTCCCAAATTATGGAGTGAAATCTGGGAGTTGTCGTCGGTAGATTATGCTGTGTTCTGGGGGACTCAGCACCATCACAAAGCTTCTTCTCCGTCTTGACCTACTCTTAAGAATGCATTTACTTGAAGAGTATTTAAGATTTCTTAAAACTGGAAATACAAACTGTGACATGTAAAAAATAAAAAGTAAGATTTCTGTAGGAGACCATAACCCTCTCCAGTGACCCTGCTGTCCATTCCAGTGTCAACTGATCCTTGTGGAGTTTGTTCTTTACAGCTGACCTGCTCTCTCCTGGCCATCTTTGGGGGAGGAGAGGGAGACATAGATTATCACCACTTGGTCTATTGGCCTGACTTTCATCTGCCTTATCATCTCCACTCCAAATTTTCTCTTCTCTATTTTTTGGTGATAGATCATATTGTCTAACCCTGTCATCCACTGCTAAATTCACTTGCTCTCATACTTGACATGATGCCGACATTAGCAGGTTGGCTCACGGATGTAATTTAGGTGCTTCTTAACATTGGTTGTAGCTTGATAATTGGATATTTATATGTTTATCTGAAGTTATGTTGGGGACTTTGACTAGTAAGGCAGATTAATTGTTTAGCATTTTTGACAGCTTATTAGTATTTTATGGTTTCCCATCAACTCTTTTCAGAGTAAGCAATTAGATTTTTAGAGCTTCTTTTCCTTTATCTCTTTGGGTAAGTAGTAACCAGTTTTCCTGCTACTTTAGACAGTAGGCAATAGCTAATCGTATTCACAGCTCTCAGTAATATTTGTTCTATTGTTTTGTTTTGAGGTGGAAGGGGGAGCTCTACCCTCAGAACATGAGGGGTAATATTTGCGTGGCTCACAAAGACCAGTGAGTACATCATCTGCATTTCCCACAGCTCACAGAGGAGGGCTCTAACATCAGTCCCGGTCCAGCCTTTTCTGTCCCTCAGAGAACACTTTTCATTATGGCCAAGTGTAATTTTCCTCAGTATTTTCTTGGAAATGTTATTGAGGGATGGGGGTCCTTTTACAAATTTTGGAAATAAATAAGATGAGAAGACCATGCTTCTGAATGATCATTTAGTTTAAGAAAACCCCTTGATTTAATGTGATTATGGATATGTTGGCTGGAGTGTAGTTTAAGATCTTCCCACTGAACCTACAGGCTTTAAGAAACCAACCCAGGAGTGTATTTTCCTGTCGAACAAATGGGTTCCGAGACCATACCTGTAATTGATCCTATCTCTCTGCTTCTCCTGAGCTAGGCAATGGATCACTTGGAGTCCTTCATTGCTGAATGTGATCGGAGAACTGAGCTTGCCAAGAAGCGGCTGGCAGAGACACAGGAGGAGATCAGCGCAGAAGTTTCTGCAAAGGTAAGCCTGGGAAGCTTTCTCCTTGAGTTGTTGATGCAAATTGCTGTCTTATAAGAACTGAGCTGCCGACGGGCCCAACAACGCACCATTAGCACTGATAGTGCATCTTGAGGATGAACAGTTCTTGCCACCTTGGGTGTTCCAAGTAAGGAGAGAGGCTGTCAGCGAGCTCAGCCCCCAGGAAGTACTGCAAGTTAGTTTCTTTAACATCCCACATAAAATAGGAAAAGTGGGGGACTGGCTGAACTGTGGTGCATCCGTATCATGAAACGAAGGTAGATCTGCATGTAATTGGCCTGAGTGTTAGCCGCACTACTCTTCCGTTTCCCCTATTCAGGAGAACTAAGTTAATTCATTGTTTTTTCCTTTCAGTTTTGTGAAAGCATCTTTTGGGATAAATGTAGTTGCTAACTGAACCAAAGGTGCTATTTTATTTCTGAAAGAAAATACAAATAATTAGGCATTTCGTTTGCAGGGTAAGTTTATTTATTTAATCCTAGACATTTTATTACCCTTACCCAAAAGATTGAACTGCAGTGGACATAACAAGAGACAGCCTGGAAAATGACCAATGTGACAATCCTTGCAACTGTGTTAGAAGTGACACATTTCACTGCTTTTATTGGAATGTGGTGCATAGGTTTAGAGTCTCAATGATGGCAGTAAGGGTGTCATAAATATTACAGTTTGCATGTGATCCACCAATTATCTTGGGCTGTTCCGTTTATTTTCATGGAACAGACTAGAAATCCAGGAAGAGAAATATGCGTTTTCTTTGCATTAAAAATCTGTTCTTGATGTCTGCTTACCTGATTTTTGTTTTCTCCCCCTCAGGCAGAAAAAGTACATGAGTTGAATGAAGAAATAGGAAAACTTCTTGCTAAAGCTGAGCAGCTGGGAGCTGAAGGAAATGTGGATGAATCCCAGAAGATTCTTATGGAAGTGGAGAAAGTCCGTGCAAAGAAAAAAGAAGCTGAGGTTGGTGAGAAAAATGTCTTAGAGAAAGGGAGATGTAGTAACTCCAGAGAGTCAACCATATGCACTAAAATTAAGCTGTGCCTCCATTTTTTTGAATATTGGGAAGGGTTTAAAATAGGGTGACATATTGACAGGATCACAGCGTATGCACACTCGGGTTTGTCTTTGCTCTGCCCCGTGTGATCTCACACCAGTCGCTTGCCCGCTCTGAGCATAGTTGCCATAGGTATAGTGCAGTCCTGAGTATTGAGTCATTAGAGCAGTGTTAATGAGCACATCCTGTCAAAGGTTCCATAGACACCAGTTTTACTACCTGTTCCTCTGGCTCCTTAGAGAGTTGGTGGGCATGGTGGTTATTCAGTTTGTGTGACTGGGCCAGCGTTGTATTGTAGATTGCTGTAAAGAGTAAAACCTGGGTGTTCATAGCAACACTGCATCTTCAGCAGAGAGAACCTGTGTGGGTTGGGATAGCATTGAAGTGGTATTGGCTGGAGTGCCAGGCCAGGACACACTGGCAGTGTGGTGGAGGAACAGATCAAGGGCTCAGTGTTTGCATCATTGACAACCATTTTCTTCCTAGATTATTTTATCTGTTGGATCCCCTCTAGTTCTTGAATCTTCACCACTGGAATTAGAGGTGGCTCATGTAGGCTTCAAGAATGACAGGAACGGTAGAGCCAGTGGGAGACAGGGCGTGTTCCTTTAGTAAATGCTCACCGAGCTCCAGCTCAGTGCCAGGCACTTTTGTAGTGGTGAATGAGCTGGAAAAGGCCCTCCTCTCATGGAGATGGCACTGGAGTAGGTGGGGTGGGGGCACAGGCAGAAGGGAATGTGAACGGTTGGGTAAAATTCATTCAGATGAAGATAGGTGCTCAAAAGATATGGGGTCTAGGTTTGAGAGTGACTTTGGATTGCAGGGGATCTCTAGGTAGGGTAAGGTGATCCTGAAGGCCCCTTAGCTGAGACTCAGAGACCGAGAAGTTTATCAGAATGTTGGGGTCAGGAAGGCCAGGTAGGGATGATGAGATCACGGTGTGTAGGTGCCCTGGTGCAGGTCTGGTTTAGGTTATCACTGTATCCCTGGCTTAGCATGGTACACATAATAGGATAGTGTCAAGGGCCCATGGGTGTTAGAGCATTTCCATGGTGACAACTTGAAGAGACAGAGCAATAGGATTACTTATGATGGAGCTGTCAGGACTGCTTTCCACGGTCCCCCAGCACAGGCTGGAATTGAGGTCAGTGTTTGTTGGAAGATGGTGTTGAGATAATGGTTCACGTCCCTGGCAAACCAACATCCCCTTCAGTGATATTCATAGATAATATAATTCATTCTTGAACATAAAAATGAGACGGATAAGAATTCACAATACAGAAATGACGTTTTTGTATATAAATGCTTAGATGTGATCACACTAAAAGACAAATGGGGTCATGAATGTGACAGTTATAGGTGATATTTGTGAATCTGATATTTTGCAGATAGCTAATGTTATACCTCCATTTCACACAGGATTTAAGTCCCTGTATATTTATGAGTCCTGTATAGGATTTAAACCTCTATATACTTAAATGAGAAATTGGTGTTTATATGTAGCAGAGTCAGGCTCCCTGGGTTGCTGACACCTCTACCAGAAAGGCCAGAGTCAGGAGGAACGCTCTGTGGCCTTAGCCCACCCCTTAGCACACCTTTGCTTCAGAGAGCTGAGCAAACCCCAGAAACCCCTTGGATTGGATGGCTTAGAGATTTATACATAAGCTAAAGTAATTGTAGATACGAAGTTCAATACATGATTTCTGCAGGCAGCTGAGACAGGGCAGGATGTAGGACACATATGTGGCTGTTTATGCCCAGAACCCCTAGCATCCTTGCTCTGGCTATTTCCCTGTCCTCCTCATCTTGGGTGCCCCCAGGAGGCAACACCACTTAAAATTGCCAGGCAGGACAGGATGGTTGTGGGGGAGGCTTTGGCAGTGCTGGTCTCTGGTGGTGTGGCACCTGTGGGAGCCTTTGCATTCTCAGTAGCAGGCAAGGGTGGCCTTAGAAATAATATAGGGATCCTTTGTACCCTTTACCCAGTTTCCCCCATTTTTCTAAAACTCTAGCACGATATCACAGAAAGGTTGTTGACATCGATGGTCAAGATACAGAACATCTATCACCACAGATCCTTCCTGTTGCCTTTTATATCCACCTCTACTTCAGTGACCCCTGGCAACCACTAACCTGTCCTCCACGTCTTTATTTGGTCATTTCAAGGATGTTATATAAATGGAATCATACAGTATGTAATCCTTTGGGGTCTCATTTTCTCTCCGCATAATTAGAATTTATTTTGAAAGATACTAGAGGGTGGCATTCAAAAGTTTCAAAACTACAGAAAGGTAGAATGAAATCACAGAAATTCGTGTACCCACCACATTTATAATTTTTGCTTAAGGTTTTTTTTTCTTTTAATAAAAGATGTAGCACATTATAATGGAAATTCAAGTTCTGAGTGTTTTCTCTCATCCCAGTTCTCTCCCTCTCCAGAGGCCAACATTAGTGTGCATTCAACATAATCTTCAGTTCTGTATTTATACTTTATTACATATGTGTATCTATAAATGCTGTGTGTGCTTTGTGCATTTGAAAAATCCTGCACAAATGTTGCCACACTACCCATGTCTTTCTCCCACATGCATTGTTCACTCAGCATTGTGAGATCTCTCCGCGTTGTACCTATAAATCTGTTAAGTTAGCTTATTGCTGTAGAATTCCATTTTGTGAACATATGATTGGTGGTTTTGTAGGTTATTGGGGGTTTCTCATCTTTACAGTGTCCTATTTGCATGTGAGAGTGTTCTAAGACATATACCTGGAAGGAGAGTTTCTGGTAATGGAACATACGTGTCCCGCTTTCACAGATCACTAAAGTGCATTCCACATTAGTTGTACCAGTGAGGCTCCTGCCAGCAGTGTATGAGAGCGCCTGCTTTTTCTGTTATCTTTGCCAGTTTAGTGAAAGCAAAGTGTTATTTTAATTTGCATTTCCTAGGGAATGTTTTGAATCTGAATTAATAGAAAATTACTTGTATTCAAGCCTCCCTTTAAATAAGGATAAATGACTTTCGGAATATATATTGTAAACCTGGATTTTGAAGGGATGTTTTAGACTTGAGCACAGGTAGCAGTTACCATGTCCTGGTTTATTTCCTTTTGTATCTCGTGTGTTTTGAGGCTGAGTTAGTTACTTCTGGTGGTTGGACTCAGACTGTAGGGAGTGCAGGAGGCAATGTATTTTGTTCTGTTTCATTGTACACTTCTTTGAAGAGAATGTCTAATGTATTTGTTCTTCCAAATTTTATCTTTTGGGGCTGCATTAGGATACAGTTTCCTAGACTTTGAGACAAATTCTATGGTGGTTTTTTTTTTTTCCTCCCCTATTTAATTCCACCCCCTTCCATCCCTGACCCATGGATGTTGCTGTTTCCCCTTAAGAACTGGATCTCTGAAGGCGGGGCGTCCCCTCCTACATGCTCGGGGCGTGCACCTGGGGTCTGGTGCACTCGTGGTATGGTCCATGGCTCCACTTGGGGCGTGAACCAAGGACCTTCTGCATGCAAAGCAGACGTGCTAACCACTACACTGTGGAGCCACCCCCGGGCTCTTGTGTTTCTTACTTGCATATTTGGTTTGCTTTTTGGTTTTGGCTTTTTAAAAGTTCTCCCTTTTCACCTCTCTGGTCTCATAGAGCTTCCCAGCATGTATAGCAGAGACCTGCCTTCCCTGCTGGCCTCTGAGAACAGGCAGCATCCTGCTTGTCTGAGTGTTTTGAATGTTTCTTGTTGCTTTCATATTGTGACTTTTAGTTCATTTTTTAAGTAAATGATGAAATTGAATTGGTTACTTATATCTGAAGCTTTGTAAATGATACAGTTTTCATTTAGAAGTCACTTCTATAGTCCTTTCAAATATTTCTATGCTGAGGTTGAATATTTGGTGGTAGTTCTATGAACCTAACTTTCATCACTCTATTCTCTTTCTCCAGGAAGAATACAGAAATTCCATGCCTGCATCCAGTTTTCAACAGCAGAAATTGCGTGTCTGTGAAGTCTGCTCTGCTTACCTTGGCCTCCATGACAATGACCGTCGCCTTGCAGACCACTTTGGGGGCAAATTGCACTTGGGGTTCATTCAGATCCGTGAGAAACTGGATCAGTTGAGGGTTCGTTAATGTATTTTATTTCTGGAGAAACCTGGGAAGTTGTGATTGTCTTCACATTAATTTTCTTTCTAGAAATCCTTGTGTTCTGATCCCAAGAACATGCCTTGAGTTTTATAGTGAAATGCTCAGTATCATCACTTTGTTTATACAAGAGACCTAAGGGACTTTGGATATTTATTTAGTCTTCACCCTCTTGTTTATGAAGGTAATGGCAGAATCCAGTACAGGGTTCAGACAGCTCTTGCACACCTCTGAAATAACTTGTGTTTGGAGATGGGAAAGAACCAGCATTTGCTAGGATTTCTCCTTTGACAGAGGCAGTGCATGGAGAGTAGTTAGGCTAGACGGGGAGATCACATATCCTGGCGTTTGCCTTGAGCCTCCTCAGCACAGGAAGGTGATGGGGCCTTTCTAGTAGCCCTGCTGCCCCCTCTGTTCCTTCCTCAAGGCCCCTCATTTTCCTGGGTTAGGCCCTAAAACATTTGATACAAACTCACCGGAGTCTTACCTGCTGTGTACTACGTTCTGTGTGCTGAGGGTGGGATGCTGAGAAATATGCAGGCCTTCCAGACACCCAAAATCTGGTGGAAGGATAGACGTGGCACCCGTCTGTAGGATACTATGATAATCAAGGCCAAGACTCTTGCATGCCTTCCAGGAAGGAGCATTGGGCGGCATAGTTCTATATCCGAGAAGGGGTCCCCGGTAGGTGATGTGTGATCATGGCGCTGGTAGAGGGAGCTGGGATAGTAGTGAGGATATTCTCAACCATTGATCTTGACATGTTTTGCTCCTGTGCTCCCAATAGAATTTTGAAAAATGATATATTTTGTCATGGAATTTTTTCTTTTTAAGTTTATGGGCATCAAAGATGAAAATAATACTTCATATGTAGCCAATAGAACATAAAAAAATAACTTGGTGTCCACTGCCATCCCCATTAAAAAAATCTCCTTAGCAGTTGGAAATGTCACATTCCTATTTCTCCTTTCAGTTGTATCTCCATTCCATATCACCCCATAATTTTATTCTAATATTATTTTATACCCGAAAGCCTTTTTTAAACGTGTGAATATATTGATTTTCCCTGGAACCTTAAGAGCTCAGTTACTAACTTGATCTAGAAAGCATATTTTATCCGTGCCGTTATGAGCAGTATATAGTTTACCAAAGCAACACAAATATGTTACAGACTTTGATAACTAGCTATTAAACTAACAGCAGAAAATGTGTTTAGAAGTACACTTTTTAATGATAAAGAGGCTGGGAGTTCTGTGCCCAGTCAGAGATGGCTTCACTCAGTGATCCCAGAGGTGTTCTCACCGAAGTAAATGTAGAATGGTGAGAGTAAGACCTTCTTTGTCAGGTGGGGAAGGATAGGTTTTTAGGAAATAGGAAAGGTTTGGAAAAGATGCCAGACCACTGGTCTGTAAACAGTCAGATCCACTTTAGGAAGAGTGTGCATGGAAGCAGAGATCCTGAGACTTCATCATTAATCTTAACCTGTCCATTGTATGTGCCTGCTCCAAGGTGCTGGACAAGCAGAGTCTCAGGTGTGGAGCTGGAAGTGCTGGACAGGAAAGCGCTCGTACCTGGAGAGTACTTTGAGGAGGAGAGCCAGCCTCTCCCCCAGTCCTTGCTGTGCCCTTTCTTCCTTGGAGCCTGGCTCCAGTCCACACAGATTCATGCCTTCACTAGCATGAGAAGACTGGTGACCCTTTGTCTCACTGGCTCTGATTTTCGCTCAGGGCTTCGTTTCACTTAGCAGAGAGATGGGAGCATTGAAAGGCTTTGGGTCGATGTTAGGAGTAGGGGATGTGCAGGTTAGACCTAGTACTTTGCTGTGTTGATTGTGTTCCAGTAGTGCAGTTTTTTGAGACCTCCCCCTGCCTATTGCATTTTCTGTTTCATTCATGATGAAGTCACGTGTTATTGGTGTTGAAAGCCAGTTGTGGATGGTTCATGGTCTACCTCCCCTGGCCTGCTGTCCCCATGAGGCCAGGTCTAGAGTTAGTGTAGCACTCAGCACCGAAAGACAAGCTGCTCCTTGGCAGCAGGAGCTTGGCTCCCAGCAACAAGATGTGTTTGGTGAGACATGTGTTCGTTCTCTTTTACCATAAAGTTTGTGAAATCTCCTTTGGATAAAAATCTTAACTTTCTGGATTGGTTTGAAGCAATGTGATTAATTTCCTGTGACTTAGTAGTATAGCACCTCTTAGGATATGCAGTTTGTCACTAAATTTATAAGGATAAAGCATTTTTTATATATTTTCTATTTTCATTATTGAAGTTTTTTTAAATGATCATGTTCTTGATTTTTAAGAGTTTCTCTTAGGTTTTAAATTATCTATACTGAGATTTATAAATGTGCTTTGTTAATAAACATTCACATTCTAGTTTGTGTAACTTGTTCTTTTCTCATTTTCCAATTTTTCATTTCTTTAGAAAACTGTGGCTGAAAAGCAGGAGAAGAGAAATCAGGATCGCTTGAGGAGGAGAGAAGAGAGGGAGCGGGAGGAGCGGCTGAGCAGGAGGTGAGCCCACGGCAGCACACGTGCCTAAGGAAGCCCCCGCTCCTTTCATCGCAGTGTTGTTTATAGCAGTTGAGGTCTGCTGAGTACCTCAGTGCCCATTAAAAGAAAATAAGCAAACTCTCAGCATGTTTATCCTAGTGAGGTCTTGGCTGGCCTAAGAGGACCTGTGTGTGCACAGCCATGCAACGTTGGACTGGGCCATCATGAGCTGCACAAGCGGCTGTGATGACCTAATTCTTACCTAGAAAGGTGTAGACTCCCTTCACCCACCCCCCACCCGCCCCCCAGAGTCTAAATGGTTGAAGGAAGAAGGAACCTGCTGTGTCCTGATTCCTGTGGATGTAGCACTCAGTAAACAGGACAGGCAGGAGTATGCTTTGTCACACTGCTATGCCCTGCTGTGAGGGGAATCCACAGGGAAGGGCCTTGGGGTCGTCTAGGCTCTGGCATTGACTTGAGTAATGTGGGGCCATGGGAGGAAGGGCAGGACCTGCTGCCCTGTGGAGAATAAGTGCAGGTAGTAGGGTGGAAGCAGCCAGAACACTGAGGAGCCAGCTGGGAGAGAGTCTAGGAGAAGGTGGCACTTCGAGTCAGGTCAGGCATGGTAAGGGTCAGTGTGTTCTGGGGGTAGAGCTGATAGGATTTGCTGGCAGATGTTATGAGGCATGCAAAGGGAAAAGGAACCTGGCCTCATGGTTTCTGGCCTGGAGTGGCCACTTATGAATGTAGGATAGACTAGGAGCAGTGTATTGAGGTGAGGAGAATATGGGGAGCATAATTTGAAGCTGGGCGTACTTGGTTTGAGATGCCAAAGAGACATCCAGGTGGAGATGATGAGTCCAGTTGGAGATCAGGGAAGAGACTTGTGCCAGGAATAACCATGCTCTCATACTGGGCACAGCTCATTGT